TCAGTGCCAGCAAAGAGCCGGAGATTGTGCTCGGTGCCAACAGCTGATAAGAGAAAAGGTCGTGTTGCATAACAGGAGTTTGTGCTTTGCGCGCCTGTGACATAATGGAGTAGGAAAGGGATGCAGGGAAGAAGGGGAGGTAATGGGTACGAAGGGGTTTATGTTAGAGGAAGTAGCCGAGCTACCTTGGCATTAGAAGGCCGCTGAACACCTTTCGCCGATCCAAATTGAAGCCGGCAACTCACAGAACGCTTTATAATGATGCCGTAAACTTTCCACTGGCAAAGCAGACTTCATTTAAGCATAAAAGCCACACTGCCTTCTCATTTAAAGTGCAAACCTAATAAATACGTACATTTAAAAAAAAAAAAAAAAAAAAAAAAAATCTAAAAGGAACGAAGAAGATTGGATTAAAATTAGGCTGGGCTAGCCAACTTCACTCCCAGAGATCTTTCTGGCAGCGCTTGTCAAGTTAGCAGGCCCTGTGAGAGGAAGGATGAGGCCAAAGGGATGTGAGGCTGGGCCTGCAGTGTGGGAAGGCTGCTTCTTCTCTTCTGCTTCAACACACAACTGTTCGCATGGGGACACATTAACTAACGCCTGGTGATGTTCACATACCTGCCAACTTCAGCTCTTGATACATATGGCTGTGTTTTATATGTTTGTTTTTTTTTAGGCTTTGATTTCTCTGCGCAGTGCAAGCAGCACATAAAATCGCGATTTTGTTTCCTTCATTTTGCACTGTGTGCAAACTGCCAGTAATCTCCATGAGGACTTTTATATTTTGCTGGCAGTTGCTTTTATGCCATGCTGTTACAACCTGGCAATGCAATAAAAGCAGGTCCAGGTTTTATTTTGCCCCCCTATCGGTGAATGTAAAAACAAAACAATACAATAAAGGAGAGTAATGATAGTTTCAGATTAAAAGAACCCCCCTCCATTGCTTTTCATTCGATCCCACCCAAAATGCTGCCATTTCAATCCTCACCTTACCCCCCCGTCCTCACGTTCGTGGAAAATATATGGGAAGCACCTTCACAGAAGCGGTTGCGTGGAACTCAACTGTAGTAAACAGTAAAATAAACAGGCAGTAAAATGTCGCTCTTGCCACGGTACACTTTGCTTTTGCCCCCGTAGTCATAGTGACAGAGAGGTTGGAAAGTGAACCCTGCCATGTTGCACACGTGAGGAGAAGAGAGCTCATGAAAGGAGAATTTGCATTGAAACATAAGGTTAAATGAACCGCACTGAGGCTCAGGCACGGTGAAAAAACAACCCTGTGACCCTCTCTTCATGGTCCTACATGAGGCCCACATTTCATTTGGACAGCTCAAGAACGAGAGAGAGAGAGAGAGCGAGGCCGAAAGACTGGGGGGGGATAAAGAGAGGAAGGAGGAGGGAGAGTCTGTGCCTTTGCACTCCCCCATTCTTGCCATGCTCTCTATTTTTGTTTCCTCTTTTTGTGCGTGCTCGACGCACACACTCACAGTGCAATGGATTTTCAACTTGGCCCTCATCAGTTGTGCGCCTGATGAAACAAACACTGACAGCCTCTTTACATTTGTAAAGGCCCCTGCAGCAGCTGTGCTTGTCCCACACACACACACACACACACACACACACACACACACACACACACACACACACACACACACACACACACACACACACACACACACACACACTTTGAATCAGAGGCCTAGCCCCTGCTGGGGCCTACAGGAAGAGCAGACTCTGCACAAAATGGCCTGACTGCACTGAGCAGCTACTCTCGCTTACAACACTCACACACACACCAACACAGTGTGTCATGTTTCGTTAGACAGGACAAGTCTGCCACACATTAGTGATACCTCAGCCATTACACAGAGCTGACCCCTGGCTCAAGAAGGCGCCAACAAATAAGAAAATAAACCTACAAAAATAGATTTTTCTTCGCTGACATGAAAGCAGGAGACAGGTGAGCTTGTCCTCTGGATTTGTTCTCTCCACACTGGCGTTTGCAATCCCTGTGGGAAATGATGATCGCCCTGCATTGTTTCGTTTTGCTTTTTTTCCCAAAAGAACTCGCTCACTTCACTATTTTGAAATCGTTTGTGACCGTTGAATCTTCAGTGTCATTCGCAGACAGCGGGCGTTCATCGGGTGCAGAAGGCAAGGGTGGCAACCCGCACTCATGTTTCAGGGGGAAATGGTTAAGCCAAGCATGTATAATTGTCTTACGCTAATTACCGGGGGAGGGGTGGCTCACTAAGGGGCCAAGAGTCCTGTCTCAAAGCATTGGGGGGGAGCTGGGCCTTGACGAGCTGGACTCCTCCAGGTTTTTGTAAATGCGTTTGGGGGCCTAGTTTGGTTCGGGCCAAACATTATGCATTGACTGCAGCTGCAGAAAACACATGACAGATGTGAGACACATGCACACAAAAACACACATAGCACTGGGATGTGCATCCTGCAGTCAAGCAGCCCCCATCCCAAAGTCCAGATGCTTTGTCACCAGAGCTAATACTACAACGAGTTATTAAAAGGCTAAATTTATTTATTTATTTTAAAACCCTTCCAGTTTTAGAAAGCCTGAAACTGGCTGGCCACAATGCAATGCCTCAATTTTAGACGGGGACTTTTATATCAGTTAGTCATAATTTCTACAGCACATCCTGTTTCCTCAGTTCAGGGAGAAGCTTACACATAAGCGGATCCGATCAAAAACGTGTCATCTTTGCAACACTCATCCCACTATTACAGCACAAACGTGCACACACGCGCACAGCAGAATTTATGGTCAGTTAACATCAATGTAACTGAAACTATCCGGTCACGCTCAGAGGAAGATTGTGTCAGAAAGAGCACTTTATTTCTGTAATATTCACGTAGTAGTGAAGTTCCAAAAAAAAAAAGAAAAAAAAAAAGCCTGAGCTGCAATGAATAACCGGCACTTATTGAGTCTTTGCTAAAGATGACTCTCCTTTATGTTGCTTTCCAGCAATGTTGATGCCAGCAACAATAATTTATCAGTGATGGGTCAGTGACGTAATGCCCTACTTTTCCAACACTTATTCATAGGACACAAGGGGATACCCTAAAAAAATAAAAAATAAACAAAAACCAAGCAACCAAAGTGTCCTTAATAATTCTCTGCACTTGTTGCGGGGCAAACAAAAAGCTCACGAGCAAATGCACGGACGCAGACCCCCCAATTGTTCACACAGACCTGTTGCTCGGTTTGGCCCTTTGCAACACTTTTTGAGACTATGATTTTGAACGCACCCTGCTCCAAAAAATAAATAAATAACAATAAATTATAGAAGAAGTGCACACTTTTATAGGTGTAGTCCACATGGCGTTTAAGTGAGGATGGGTTTTGGAGGGAGGGGGGTGTGTTTAGCTCTGCTGACTTCAGTCAGTCGAGCATTAGCGCACGTGAGATGCCTCGTGCCTCGTGCAAATAAAGGCAACAATGTGTCCGGTGGGCGCACAGCAACAATCTATACATCAACGAAGTGCAAAAAAATAAAGTATATATATATTTATTTATTTTTTTGGGGGGGGGGGGGGGGGAGTCATAATTTAAAAATAAATAAATGATGGGGGCTAAAGTACAAGCACACTGCGAGATTAAAGTCTTTGTTTAGGTCACGCAGATGGACCGCTATAGCGAGACTGTAATTAAAGCCAGGGCCGAGCTGGACTAGCTCCTGGTTTCACAGCCCCTTCCTCCTCTACAAAACTCACCAGTGTTACTTGCAGGGACACACACAGAGAGAGAGAGGGAGAAAATGGTCGCTTCATACATGAACCTCTGCAATGCGACTGAACACAGTCTCTTTAAAAAGATGGAACCGCTTAGAAACACTTGTCTCAAACATGTCCACCAAGTAGTGTAGCGTTAAACCGAATTAAGCAGCCGAGGAGGACCTAAAGGCTAGTTAGCTATCGCCTCTCCCAACACCTCCCGTAGTATAGCAAAGGAGAGAGAGAGAGAGAGAGAGAGAGAGAGAGAGAGAGAGAGAAATGGAGTTATCCCCTCAGCGAGCTGCTGCAATATCTGCTCCTTCTCAGAGGTCACACGAAGACCTGCCAAAATCGTCGACACCGGCGCTGGACTTGACTTGTACAACGGCGGTAAAAGCCGAGGGCAGGCGTGTAGCAAACAAACAAACCCAGGAGTGTGCCCGCAGCGTTTCGAGAGGTGGAAATTGAATGAAAATGCCTAATCGCATGACCCCCTTTTTCCTGCTGCACGGAGAAAATTAAAGAGCCACAACAGTCCGCGAAACATGTCGGTTTGTCAGCCCCACGCCAAAAACACACACACACACACACAGAGATATATATACACCCTGCGCCAGGACTGTAACACTTAGCCACCCATAGACTCGAACATGAGGACGGGTTATAGTAAGCCATATATTCCGAAATGCTCAGCATGGGACGAAATGAAGTCGCAATAGCCGAGCCATGGCCGACAGGCTCGTCTTCACGACTCTGAGTAGCAAGAAACGGCTAGCGAACAAAAGCGTATTCTGGGAAACTGTTTGCCAAGTCTTTTAATTTAAAACCTTTTAGGGGCCTTGTAGCACAGCCGAAGCATGCTATGCACAAAATCACGGGTTTAAACCGGCCAAAATAAGCGAAGCAATCCCCCTTCACTGCTACAACCAGCACCACTAAAGCACCCGATGTTCAAATAGCCTAAAACATGGTCGGTGTCGAAGAAACGCTGCAGCAGACGTTGAATAAACATTGCTGTCTCTTTAAATTAAAAAAGGAAAGAAGAAGACATGTTATTGTTAACACGTCGAGGCAACTTAAAGGCGTTACATTTTGGAGGATATTTGACCCAAATGGAGCCCAGGCTGCATGATGGTAACCTTCACCAGCCCGTGATGGAAAGTTTATGCGTTTTCATCAAGGCGAGCAAAGGCAAACTTGAATAGAGCCGATATCAGTGAGCATTTCTGGCAATAATAATAATAATAAAAATACCAGCGTTCACTTACATATTTCTTTTGGATGATATTCCTCTTAGGTCGTTCCTTGCTCATTATGCAATCCCCCAAAAATGTTTGGCTATAGAGAGAATGGCCACATGAATTTCTTTCTTTGACTATCGCTTCTCCCGGAGCTCCAAAGGACGATTTAAATCCCCGGCTCTGTAAGGAAAAGCTTGCTGGCTTTGCAGAATCCTCCTTCGGTGTTTCCCCGTTTGAAGAATTCGGATTAAATCCCCCGGAAATATATATATCTATATATACAGATGTATATATATAAATATATATATTCAAGAGTCGACGACGAACAGAGACGGACTGAAGCCAAACTCACTTGGGGATAACATAGTCAAAACAAATGCACAACAATAAGTTCCATTCGCTCCGACAGCTCGGCTTCTCGTCTCTGCGCACTCGCTCCCGGCTCCTTTCAAATGCATGAATGTAGCTGTGGTGATGTCAGAAAAGTTACATCTTGTTTGAGGCGACGAGACATCGAGAAATAAATAAAATTACAAAATAAAACGTTAGGTGTCACGTCGCTTTCCTTTTTTCCCTTTCTTTTGGAGGGGGGCTGGAGCCTGAGGTCGTCGACAGATCCAGCGGCACTGCTGTGCTTACCGAGAGCAGCTCCTTTCTTTCACTGCCTCCGCCTCCTCGCACAACACCGCCACCATCAGCGGCAACTTTAAAAAATTCTCGAGAGACAACCCCGAGCACGTAGCCCTGCTAGATAAGCCTATACCGTGTTCTTTTACGGATTTATGGTGTGTTTGTGGTAATCGTAACAAGCATTTTTTTTTCTAGTAATCCTGCACTACATGGCGCGTTTAAAGTCCTATGCAGCAATAGCTTGCTAAGGTCATTTCGAGGAAACACCAGTGGTCACAATAAAGTTTATCTTCTTCTTTTTTTAAAAAAAATTACTCTTGTGTCTTGGTTTTGATGTTAAGACAGTTAGTTTTATGCTGCAGTTTTAATGGGATTTAACATTTCCACTAAGAAGTTGTTAGGGGACAAAAAGAAAAAGTGAGGGTTCCCTAACGCGAATTTGAATGCGAATGACTGCCCCCCTCCACTCCCACACCACAACCACACAACCTCAGAGCACGTGGTTAAACATTAAAGCTCGACCTGAATGGTGGGAGATGCTATACTTTTAGGAACTTTTCAACTGAGAAAAACTTATTGTTATAGAGAAGAGAGTTTCACGCCCAGTGTAATGATGTCACTGGTGCAGTTCCACAGAGCGACTTTGCAGACCAGCAAGAATAAAAGCATGATGTGATCTGAATGCATTAAGCAGCTTCATATTTTTAAAACTACATATACACATGCATGCATGTGTATATATTTTCAGATATGCTTTCTTGGATTCTTTTTAAAGCACTGTGTAGTGACTGTTAGCTGACTGGATGTCCTCATCCCCCTCAGTATCAGTGGGCTTGCTGTGGTATTACTCTAATGTACTGAGTGGGATGGTTGCTCCGTTTGAACCACAGAGGTAGAGGTAGTTAAAAGTAGTGTGTGTGTGTGTGTGTGTGTAGAGGGGGAGGGGATATTAAGATGAATATGCAGCTTTGTCTCCATGGTATACCCGAAGAGAACTCTAACTGTATAATGATGCTGCTTTTTTAAACTAGTTGTTACTGAGCAGTGCTGGTTCACTGAAAAGTGTGTTTAGGCCACCAGAATGGAAGAAATATTTCCACTACAGTTTTTTATTTTCTCCAAGAGATTCACTGCATTGTCCATAAAGCTTATTGATAGATGGCCTTGAAATTTGCTACAGAGCTCCACCGGGTCTGGAGGATGAATCCTTCAGACTTTTTTAATTCCTTTTTGCCTTTTTATATAACCAGCAGATGAACATTTTCTCTGAAATATGTCAACATATAAACAATGAGCTGGTGGTATTTCAAAGTGCACATAGGGGTGATCTGCTTAAGAAGTACTGGGTGGATTACAATCAGATTTGCTACATATATTCATTTCTCTCTGTGGAAGAACTGCAATAAATTTGTTTTTACCCAAGCAGAAACCTTGGGTAAAAACTACAAAAAGAGCTGGTCCCAATAAACAACCATGCTAGATTGGTCAGTTTTAAAGCAGAAAAAAACATAGTTACAGCCTGGCACAAAGAAAATGTTGCATTTTCTTAAAAAATCATGTTAAAGTTAAGACCAATCTATCAGCTGAATGCTGATAGATTCTCACTGGCCACTTCATTAGGTACACCTTGCTAGTACATTGGTGGAGCCCCTTTTACCTTCAGAAGTACCTTAACTCTTCGTGCCACAGATTCAATAAGGTGCTGGAAACATTCCTCTGAGATTGTGGTCCATACTGAGATGAGAGGATCACACAGGTGCACATTCATGATGGGAATCTCCCAGTTCACCACATTCCAAAGATACTCTATTGGACTGCAATAAGGGGACTGTGGCAGCCACTTGAGTAAAGCGAATCATTGTCCTGTTCAAGAAACCTGTTTGAAATCATTTAAGTTTTGTCTCACAATGCGGTAACCTGCTGGTAGCAGCCAACTGAAGATGGGTACACTGTGGTCATAAAGGGATGGACATCATCAGTGGGTTTAAATGATACTCAGTTGGTGCTAAGTAGTCTCCATTATACCATTATTACACCACCACTAACAAAATCCTGAAATATGAGGCGGTGGATCCATGCTTTCATGTTGTATACAGCATTCTTGACCCTACCTCAAATGTTGAGGCAGAAATCGAGACTCAGTTTTCGTGCCCTGTGTGAATTTTTGCCTCAGTTTCCTATTCTTAGCTCAGAGGAATGGCACCCACTGTGGTCCTTTGCTGCTGTACTCCGTCTGCTTTTTTTCTCTTCTTGGGACCATTCTCTTTAAACCCTAGAGATGGTTGCATGGGAAAATCCGAGCAGATCAGCGTTTTCTGAGTTAGTCAGACCACCCCATCTGGCTTCAACAGCCATGCCACGTTCAAAATCACTTAAATCAACAAGTCATGTTGACCATGTCTACATGCTCAGATGCACTGAGTTGCTGCCATGTGATTAACTCATTAGATATTTGCATTAACCAGCACTTGTTAATGAAGTGGCTGGTGAGTCTATGCACGCCATGCTTGTATGTTTTACTGATCCATTTTACAGATCCAGGTTTGTTGCAAGTTAGCAACCATGCGCTAACACTTCTGATCCAAATATGGTAACTTCTGGCTTCAGAGAACCACATGGCAACAGCTACACCACTGAAGCGTCAAAAAGAGGTATGGCAAAGTCCCGGTGGCTATGTCCATCTTTTATATACAGTCTTTAGTGTTTCCCATAAGCCACTGCTGCAGCATGAGTAACAAGTTGGCACTGACTCAAAGTACAATTGAGTTTGATTCTCTAACTGAGCTACTAGTATGGGAGCCACCTCTACCACTTGTGAAAGTTACAGTTGGTGGTATCTATCTTATTTGCCTGCACCCAAATTACGTATTAGGACATATCTGCGTGGGCTCTCTGGCACAAGTCAGATAGTAAACTGGGTGGGGTTTGAACATGCAGGCAAATGTCAGCAGAAAGTGTTGCTTTAGTTAAACCTAGCAATTAACCTCATAGTTCAGCATTATCAAAGCAGACAGCACATGCAAGTTAATGTATTGAGATGCGGGTGATTATTTATTAGTCTTTGAATGCCTGTTCTCCTCAAGCTCGCCTCCAGAATTAGACCCAGGTCCATCCCAGTACACATACTGTATGCGTTACTGGGTTTGGTTGGTTAGATATACAACAACTCAAAGAGTTAACAGTGGCACACACATTTAGACTTACATTCACAACTACAGGCATGTTTTTACTTTCCAACTCTTTGCCCTGGTGTTTGCACTGTGGGAGGCAAAGTAACGTACGCGTACAAGTAAGAAATCCTAAAAGAAGATTCAGCATGTCCCCAAATCACGTAAAAGCTGAAGTATAAACAATCACCAGCATCCAAATGATCATGCTGATTTCATTATCATTCATGTAATGGGGAGGAGCTATTGATTCCTGTCCTCTGTTTGATGTAGATTCAGCGTAATGCACCAAATGATCAAAGCGCCGAACTTACCCTCAAATGCACGAACAAAGACGCCAAATCAATAGTCCACGGATCAATAATTCTAAGCATGGTTTGTAGATGACATGATATTTATGTATTCCCCCCACCTTTCAGTCTCGACCCCTATTCCAGTTCTGCTGATAGGAATATGTGGATAGAAGGGATAATAGTAGCTGCTGATCATGTGCACTTTTATTTTATATGCGTTTAAAATCACGTTTTGCCTAATCAATCATGTCTACAGCGTCATGGACATGAATGCTATTTTGAGACAAGACTATGTAAGCTGCCTTTAGCCCCCCCCCGTCACCTGCACTCTCCGGAGGGGGGGTTATCGGGGTCTTCTGCCCTGCTGGTGCTGACATTTAGGCCCACATGAATCAATAAGACAAGCTGAGGAAGGATGCCTGAATTTCGCAGCGGTCGACCTCACAGTTCACATTTAGCCCACGGGCAGAAGGGTTGCAGGCTCTTCTCTAGACATTTTTAGCCTGATTTTTTTCCCCTATGTGCAGACCTGTAATATGTGGTTTTCAAATCTTCTTGTTTGCACAATATTTCAAATGTATATATTTATATATCATAACTGGGAAGTTCGGTAAAATGTGTCGTGGGTGTGCTCATAGCACAGATATGTTAAACACTAGTGGTCTGAGTGCATGAAAGCATCTGCAGCACAATTGTTGCTATAGTTAACAAAAATGAAACTTTAAAACTAAAACTAGATGTAAAACATTTGAACTATTTCATAGAAATTAAGACAAAATAAAAACTAACTGAACTATATGGACACTTTCGCTCTTTTGCCTTCAGAACTGCTTTAATTCCTAATGGCACAGATTCATCAAGGTGCCAGAAACAATGCTCAGAGATTTTGGTCTATATTGATGTGGTAACGTCATACACCAAGAGGTGCTCTGTAATCTATGTTCAAGAGACCAGTCTGAGCTTTGAATTGAATTGAAATTTATTTCAGTCAACAACAACAACAACAACAGATTATAATTTTACATAAAAGTACTAAAACAGAAACCGAAAAAGGAATAGGCTGAAGCCTTATGGCTTATACTTATCCTATCCCTTACCCCCAGCTTTGTGAGATGATATGTTATCATGGTATGTTATAAATAACTCATCTGTGAAGCTTCTTCTAGCCAGACTTAGCTGAAGAATCTGTTTTTAAAACTAAATGCAAAAAAGGTACCAGGGATAGCATTATCAGTTTGCGTGTTCTCTTAATTGCACAGAGACTTTAAAGATTTAAACTCACATGAGTCAGTTAAAAACAGGTTTACACCAAGTTCCTGTTTTGCAGCCAATAAAAAAAAAATCCTGAATCACATCACAAAACAAAGCAGAACAAAATCAAATGTGTAAAAACTATTTAAAAAAAACACCCCCAAAAATATATATGGCAAAGACATTTGTATATGTTTTGTGTGTGTTTACTTGTGTATACGTGTGTGATAGAGAAGGCCAGGGATTGATTAGAGCTTTCACTCTCAATGTGGTTAATTGCCCAGTGAGGCTTAGCAGACGGTGCTGGCTAGATTGATGTCCGATAGCCA